AAACCTTCATTTCCACAAACCTTCATTTCTACAAACCTTCATTTTCACACCTTCATTTCTACAACTTCATTTCCATAAACCTTCATTTCCGCAAACCTTCATTTCCACAAACCTTCATTTCCACAAACCTTCATTTCCATACCTTCATTTCTACAAACCTTCATTTCCACACCTTCATTTCTACAAACCTTCATTTCCATAAACCTTCAGTTCTACAACTTCATTTCCACACCTTCATTTCTACAAACCTTCATTTCTACAACTTCATTTCCACACCTTCATTTCTACAAACCTTCATTTCCACAAACCTTCATTTCCACACCTTCATTTCCACACCTTCATTTCTACAAACTTTCATTTCCACAAACCTTCATTTCCACAAACCTTCATTTCCACACCTTCATTTCCACAAACCTTCATTTCCACACCTTCATTTCTACAAACTTTCAATTTCACAAACCTTCATTTCCACACCTTCATTTCCACAAACCTTCATTTCTACAAACTTTCATTTCCACACCTTCATTTCCACACCTTCATTTCCACACCTTCATTTCTACAAACTTTCATTTCCACACCTTCATTTCTACAAACTTTCATTTCCACACCTTCATTTCCATACCTTCATTTCCACACCTTCATTTCTACAAACTTTCATTTCCACAAACCTTCATTTCCACACCCTCATTTCCACAAACCTTCATTTCCACACCTTCATTTCCACAAACCTTCATTTCCACACCTTCATTTCCACACCTTCATTTCTACAAACTTTCATTTCCACACCTTCATTTCTACAAACCTTCATTTCCACACCTTCATTTCCACAAACCTTCATTTCCACAACTTCATTTCCACAAACCTTCATTTCCACACCTTCATTTCTACAAACCTTCATTTCCACACCTTCATTTCCACAAACCTTCATTTCTACAAACCTTCATTTCTACAAACCTTCATTTCCACTCCATCATTTCCACAAACCTTCATTTCTACAAACTTTCATTTCCACAAACCTTCATTTCCACAAACCTTCATTTCCACACCTTCATTTCCACAAACCTTCATTTCCACACCTTCATTTCTACAAACTTTCAATTCCACAAACCTTCATTTCCACACCTTCATTTCTACAAACCTTCATTTCTACAAACCTTCATTTCCACTCCATCATTTCCACAAACCTTCAATTCCACAAACCTTCATTTCCACACCTTCATTTCCACACCTTCATTTCCACAAACCTTCATTTCGACAAACTTTCATTTCCACACCTTCATTTCGACACCTTCATTTCCACAAACCTTCATTTCCACACCTTCATTTCCACACCTTCATTTCTACAAACTTTCATTTCCACAAACCTTCATTTCCACAAACCTTCATTAACACAAACCTTCATTTCCACACCCTCATTTCCACAAACCTTCATTTCTACAAACTTTCATTTCCACACCTTCATTTCTACAAACTTTCATTTCCACACCTTCATTTCCATACCTTCATTTCCACACCTTCATTTCTACAAACTTTCATTTCCACAAACCTTCATTTCCACACCCTCATTTCCACAAACCTTCATTTCCACAAACCTTCATTTCCACACCTTCATTTCCACAAACCTTCATTTCCACACCTTCATTTCCACACCTTCATTTCTACAAACTTTCATTTCCACACCTTCATTTCTACAAACCTTCATTTCCACACCTTCATTTCCACAAACCTTCATTTCCACAACTTCATTTCCACACCTTCATTTCTACAAACCTTCATTTCTACAAACCTTCATTTCCACACCATCATTTCCACAAACCTTCATTTCTACAAACTTTCATTTCCACAAACCTTCATTTCCACAAACCTTCATTTCGACACCTTCATTTCCACAAACCTTCAATTCCACAAACCTTCATTTCCACACCTTCATTTCCACACCTTCATTTCCACAAACCTTCATTTCGACAAACTTTCATTTCCACACCTTCATTTCGACACCTTCATTTCCACAAACCTTCATTTCCACACCTTCATTTCCACACCTTCATTTCTACAAACTTTCATTTCCACAAACCTTCATTTCCACAAACCTTCATTAACACAAACCTTCATTTCCACACCCTCATTTCCACAAACCTTCATTTCTACAAACTTTCATTTCCACAAACCTCCATTTCCACAAACCTTCATTTCCACACCTTCATTTCCACAAACCTTCATTTCCACACCTTCATTTCCACACCTTCATTTCTACAAACTTTCATTTCCACACCTTCATTTCTACAAACCTTCATTTCCACACCTTCATTTCCACAAACCTTCATTTCTAAAACTTCATTTCCACAAACCTTCATTTCCACACCTTCATTTCTACAAACCTTCATTTCCACACCTTCATTTCCACACCTTCATTTCCACAAACCTTCACACCTACAAACCTTCATTTCCACACCATTTCATTTCTACAAACTTCCATTTCCACACCTTCATTTCCATACCTTCATTTCCACACCTTCATTTCTACAAACTTTCATTTCCACATACCTTCATTACCACACCTTCATTTCTACAAACTTTCATTTCCACATACCTTCATTACCACACCTTCATTCCAACATACCTCCAATTCCAATTCCACATACCTTCATTTCCATGTACAATAAGCTATGGTTATTATGAACTCAAAGGGACCACTAATTTTAGTCTGCTGTAACCGAAGTTCGTAATGCTCATATATACAGCAAATAGACGGAACCAAAAACAAGTTTGTTTCATCCGTCAGTTAGCGTGTTTGTTTTAAACATAGTTTACTGTACCTTCATTGAGTTGTGTTTTTTTCTCAGAAGTCTACTGCCCCTGAAAAATGTACTTCTTCCATTTTTTAAAATTCCATTGTAACCCTAATGATAGAGTCCTGTGTGTCAGGCAACAGCCTGTGTGTCAGGCAACCCATAACAACCAATGCAATACCAGAGCTCCAGATAAGCTGCGTATCTGCATAAAATACGCATCAGAACTGCAGAAATACGCAGTAAAATAAAAACCAAGCGTATCAAATACGCAACGAACATAACAGGTACGCTACAAAAATATAACTTGTGCATATCATCAAAATATTGTGAAGTAACCCTGCATATTCGATTAGCAAATCAGCAACTTATTTTGAAATTATAAACGGGCATTCCGTCAACCTTGCCAAACTCCAAGATGAGTTACATCATGATCATTTGCCATCACACTTTCTTGTGGAAGTATCGTGGTATAAAGCTCTCGAACCCACACGACACCAGCTTGCAGGGACTAGATGTATAGTGGTTTTAAATATTAAACTTAAATACCCACATGTGTAAAAACTAGTGGGTAACCGAAATTTGAATACCCAGATAGAATTACTGATACCCAATGATTTTAAAATGCATGGGTAAAATACCCACAACACCAAAAGCTTATCTGGAGCTCTGAATACCATTTGTAATTGAATGAATATATATGATCTGGCCAATGAACATCGTGATAAGAAACGCGCTTGACTAAGAATATATAGCTCCTGACAGTGTTTCCCTATGATACAGAATGTATGATGCTAGGACATGCGCTGTTCAGGAATTTCAATTATGATTTTTGATGGCTGTGAATTGTTTTATTAATCCTTAAGATTAACTTATTATTTATGAAATTATGAAACATGTGACTCCTTGCTTAGCATTTCTATCACACAAAATTCCAACTACGTAAACAAACCATCTGTCAAATTGAAATTTTATAGGTCTATGATTGGTGACCAATGGCCATCTGAAACCCTGGATTATTGTAAAAGCTTAAATTAGAGACCATTTAATGCAAAAAAATTATCTGTTGAACCACAGGCCTAAACTTAAACTAGAAATTCTCAAAACTGTGTTTTCTACCCCAGCTAACTTCAAGTTACAAAAGTAACACCGAAATTATTATAAAATGAAATATTCAAATTTTTAAAGTCTTTTTTATTGTTATAATACTTTAAATTGAAAATATGCATAACTTATTTGCTATAGTCAACGACATTTGGTCCCTTTCTATGGAACAGGTCATATTTATTATTAGGAAGTTTATAAAAAAAAATCAGACATGGGGTATTTCAACATGCTGAATGAAATTTAATTTACAAATAATCATGAGAATTTAGCTCAAAAGGCATTTGCCTTTCAACAGCAATTTTCTGAAACAACATCCAAGGGATGTGAAGCAGATCTACTAGTGTAAGTTCTCCAACAGGCATGCTGACTGAGCCACCATTCACGATGACTCAGCCTGGGACAACCGCACAGCTTGTACATCAAGTCAAACCACTCAGGTCTCAATAGCGTCTGGGCACTCTGTCCCAGTTAACCTGAACTTAATAGCTCTTCAAATATTCTCCCTTGCACATTATATTCACGAGGTTCTAAAACGTCTGATACTGCTTGAAAACAACCGAATACATAAATCATCATTGCATGGGACGTAGCTTTTGTAATGTATGAATGCAATGTGTCCTTAACAGCTCTTTAATGAGCGAGTTGCCTGTGGTGACCTATGTCGAGCGAATGTCGAGTGACCACTTACAGTACATATTACACATAAAATACAGTAAATGAATAACAATATTTTAGAGTCGACAATCAGTACAACAATAATCATTCTACAATTTCAGTAAGTAGCTTGTAATCTTGCCATCTCTCCTTCACTAAAAATGTTCTTGTCATCAGACATAAGTATACGGGATTATAATTATGTAAATCCCTTTTAGCAAGAACACGCTTGTCATATTCAACTCCTACAAGTTCGCATGTTGTCTAACTGCCTCTACATGTTTGTGGGCAATTTTTGGGCCTGGCGTGCCCCGCCCACGTCAATGATAATCGCTTTATTTGTATTGACATTATGTCTACACGATTATCACTGTGCATAGATAAATATACGTGTGCCTCTAGCTCCATCGGGGACATGACAATAAACTCAAATTCAACGAAAGAACTTACCAGCAATGCGACTTCGTCTTTCCTGTCAGGTCTCCGGAAGGAAGAGCAGGTAACTCTAGGGGCACCTGCAGAAGTTCTGCGACAGTAAAATCACTTCAAGGGAACGGCGGTCTGTGTTAGAAGGTGGATCGTATCTCTCGAATTGGAAAAAGAAGGTTACGATATAAATCAGTAATTCGAAGTTTTGACTCAGATAACGAAATTGTATGGGTTATTTCTACCTATTTTTGCTTTTTACTATTACCCAATAAACATGTCATGCTGGATTTAGATGATTCCGATTAATTATAACACCACTTTAATGACCCCTCGTCTGTTATAAAATAGAAGAGCAAGTTGTAATATACAATGCAACAAAATAATAAATAGCATTGTATGACGTCTTGATAATTTCATTTATAAATCATATAAAGGATAGGTTTCTCGGCGGGATAAAGCCACCGGATAAAAACCGATATCCGTTGGGATAATATGCGGATTTGGATAATAATTTTGAATTTGTGATTGTAGTGTAAACATATTATCAGTTGTAGAATAGCCAGTACGAAATCCAGCTTGACACTCAGGGTTTTTGTTAAACAAATCTAAAAAAAAATTAAGTCTATTATTTAAAACACACGTAAATATTTTACTGCAGATGTCCATTAAAGAAATTTCTCCATCGAAATCATTGGTATTGCCTTTCTTATGAAGTGGGAAAATTATACTTTTAGACCAATGCAATGGAAAATCACCAGATTAAAAAAGAACATGTAAGTATTCCATCAGGTCCAGCGGATTTACCACACTTTAAAGAGGACAGTGCTTTAACTTTTTTCTCTTGATATCTCTCTATTGCGAGTATTATTAGTATCACGTCACTATAAACAGGTACAGTAAACTACGGTTATAACGAACTCAAAGGGACCACTTATTTTAGTTCGTTATAACCGTAATTCATTATAAGCATATATACAGCATATATACAACAAATGGCCGGGACTAAAAAATAAGTTCGTTATATCAGTCAGTTCGTTATAAGCGTGTTCGTTATAACCGTAGTTTACTGTATATCTTGGGAAAGGTAAAGCCAATAAAGGAAACAAATCATCATCTAATATTTCATCCTAAATATTCTAAGTATTTTTAAAATAGTCAATCCACTGAGAACTGTTTATACACGACGCTGGTGAGTAAGACTTGTCTGGTTAGGGTTTCACACCAGACCAGAATTGTTTCATGTTTCCCTCTTTACCTGTATCAAGTTGATTTATGGTAAGACTAATGGTAATATTCACATTTCTTGCGACAAAGTTCTCTGTATTTATTACGAGCAAAGTGAAACTGATTCAAGTAGCTGGTATCTCCTCTTGTTGTAAATTGGTCTAATTAGGTGTATTTATTTCTTTTCAGTGTTATACATTCGGTATTAACTTTAACTGAACTCTAAGTGGCGATTATGTTAAAACAATGGATTTAAGGGATGGATGAATTAAAATGTTGAATGAAATAAAGTAAAAGAGGGTATCAAGCATCTTGAGTCATTTCTTTTGTCTATATTTAAGCGTTCGCTCGTCACGCCGAAGACCCGGGTTCGATACCCGTCATGGGTACAATGTGTGAAGCCCATTTCTGGTATCCGTGATATTGCTGGAATATTGCTAAAAGCGGCGTAAAACAATACTCACTCACTCACTCACTCTTTTGTCTATGATAAGACAAGTCCATTTTCATGATAGGGGTTAATTACCTGATTAACATGTGCAACCAGGTATGACATTGTTGTTTTAAGGTGTGTCACAACTTGGCTGTCTTACTAGGTGAGGTGAGGTGAAATGGGGTTTAACGTCGCGTCCAAGATTATTGCACTTATATAGCGACGTGCATGCACGTGTGTGTGTTTGTGTGTGTGGCTGCTTGTACTAGTCCGGACTAATGCCGATTTCTAGTGCTAGCTCACTGAGATACCATGCCGCAGTTTAACATGAATATCCCACTCAGACACAGTATACTGACTCCGAGCCGACCAGTCCTTGTTTTAGCCCCTTAATGCCAGACAGGGTAACAACAAGTACCATCTTTTAACGTCTTTTGGTATGACGCGGCCGGGGATCGAACCCCGGACCTTCCGCTCTCCGGGCGGACGCTCTACCACAAGACCACGGAGGCGGTCTGGCTGTCTTACTAATGGGAGGAGACCATACATTCTGCATCACTCCAAGACTCAGTCGTTTTTTTTGTTTCTAGATAATGTACCCATACGCAAGTCGGCCTTCCAAGCACTCTGACGTGTCATTACAAACTAAGGGTATTTAAACTGGTCCACAGAAAGGTTAAACGGATTATTCATAAAGAATTGAATAAAGGTGTTGTGGTCTCCATCTGTACTGAACAATTGGGATAACAGCTTCTCCAGTGACCGCCTTTTGTACATAGTTACAGTGAGTGAGTGAGTGAGTGAGTATGGTTTTACGCCGCTTTTAGCGATATTCCAGCAATATCACGGCGGGGGACACCAGAAATGGGCTTCACACATTGTACCCATGTCGGGAATCGAACCCGGGTCTTCGGCGTGACGAGCGAACGCTTTAACCACAAGGCTACCCGACCGCCCCCATAGTTACAGTTAGCCCTGATTAAACAAGAAAAAGGATCAGATTCAGAGCGCGTGTGAGCATTAAAAGTATCAACGAATTCAATAAATGTTTTGAACACTTTATATAGTCCACCGTACTTGCACCGTTAGAGGTAAAACAGGTAATGCTACCACTTGGGTCATCTGTGAAACGACAATTTGATAATGTATTCCATATGTGCAACACAGGCTAATCATTTCTTTTCCCAAATCGTTAACGTCTTTATCTCTTGAAAACCTGGGTATATGAAAGGAATCTTTTATATATTGCATATTATTCAGATTCTGAATGTACACATCACTATCATCATCATGGTAAAGTATATAATCCGCTAATGATCCTGTTCTAGTATTAAAACCGCCTGCTAGTATAATGTCAACATCACAGAACAGCCTCAGTAGCGTAAGAAGATATGACTCTGTGTGGTCAATACCCTGAACATCGCGCTTGTCAGATTCAAGAAAATAATAATGAGTGAGTGAGTTGGGTTTAACGCCGCTTTTAACAGTATTCCAGTTATATCACGGCGTGTCAGCTTAATGTGGGAGGAAAGCCCGAAGCCCTGATGCAGGTGTCAGACGTTTACCACTTCGGGGAAACCCACGAGCACGGGTATGGTGCTAACAAACCTAGAAACATAATCGGGGCGAATCGGGATTCGAACCCACAATTATAGGTTTCTGACGTGCCCAAGTGACGCAACTCTGCACAGCGTATCGCGGCGCCTTAGACGTGCCCCCTGAAGATAATAAAGGGTGGACATAAACAAATCGAAGCAAAATGTCTCTTTCAAATCCGAAAAACTTAGCATCTAAGAGACCATAAATGGTATCACTGAAGGATAAGGATTTTTATTAATTCGGTTATTTCTAACCCAAGGGGTAATAGAAAGATGTTATCACGCGAGTGTGTTTGGGAATGGTAAATATCCTGTATTAGGAATAAACATTGTATTTAGCGAGCCTTGGCGAGCTAGATATATGGTAGTTTATTCCTTATACAGGATATTTACCATCCCCAAAAAATCAAGCGTGATAACTTCTTTATCATATAATGTCATTCTTCAGTTCTGTGATTTGAAAATCTCTTCCCATCTTTCACAATCATTACTTATACTTTGCAAGTTTTCCTGGAATGTGCGCATTAATATATATTACGCCTGAAGGTAGGTGACGTGTCGGTTGGACAGTGACACCAGTCAATATAGTTTCAATTGAAACCCGTTTCTAATACAATAGGGTCACTACATATGGACAAAACAACAATTGCCTACACAAATTGTTTCTATATGCCTTTCGCAGCAATCTATCGGTCTGTCCGCTATAGTAACTGCCCTATATCAAAGGGAAGCTACTCTAACCCTAGTCTATGAGACGTCACGTTTTATTCGTAGACTTTCATAAAGCCTTTGATTCTATCAATAGGGTATGTGTTAGCTCAACAAGATATTAAAGGTAAAATGCGAGATATCTCGGTTCTCGATATACATGTATTGTAAGACAACAACAGCTGCTAAAATATCAAATGTTAGCATTTCCGTAATATTTTGATTTTTTAAACGGTGTTCGTCAAGGTTGTATTCCAAGTCCACTTCTATTTAGTATGTTTATAAACCAATTCGAAGATGACTCTCAGCAGCATGGTGGGAGAGGTATTTTTTTGTATCAGGCTTTTTAGACTTGCTTTTATTGTTATATGCAGATGATTTGTGTCTGTTTTGTGACAGTCTCTTTGGTTTGCAAAAGAATACATACATACATACATATATATATATATATATATATATATATATATATATATATATATATATATATATATATATATATATATATTGTGGAAATTGTGTTCAAGGTGGGGCTTGAAAGTTAATTTCAATAAAACTAAAATCCTTGTGTTCCTTAACGGTGCTTAACTCAAGAAGACTGAAAAATGGATGTATTATGATATTGCACCGAAAACCTCAAACTACTACAGCTATCTTGGTATCAAATTTTCAAAAAGACTTTCATGGTCAAAATCAGTGCAAACACTTATTCACAAAGCTAGTAAAACACTTTTTCCTATAAAACAGTTTCAGTCGAAAATAAAAAATCTCTCAAAGAAAATATATTCTGTTGTATTCATCCGAGGTACGAGGTTGGCATAAATGGGAGGCATTAGAATAGTTTCATGTGAAATATTATGTTCTAGGTGTTGGCAAATCTTCTACTACTGCAGCTGTTTTATGTGAGTGTGGTCAGTGTAATATATATTCATGTATTGTGATTCATTCACCAGATGCATTAAATATTGGTGTAAACTTGTATCTATGCCGGATACTAGATATCCAAAACAATCTTATGACATGTTGAGAAGATAGGACCAACACAGAGTTGCAAGGGACTCAACTATTAAGAAATAACTTTATTTATATGGTTTTCATTATGTGTGGAAT